AGCCTCATTGTTAATTATTTTAAGAAAGAATATTCTTCTCATGATTTTGTAATCTTTTCTATTATTTAAGATTAGGTCAATACTTGTTCCCTATATAAAGAGAACCGAATGAGAGAAAAAAAAACACACACGCACACAAAGAGGTTGTGTAACCGCACACAATGAGGAACCAAGAAGAATTGAGTGACTAAAATCTAAGGTAATGATACAGATGACGAAAAAATGAGATGAATTCACGAGACTAATGACATGGAAAGAATGTGGAAAAGAAGTGAGACAAATGTAGATTTTATTTTATTAATATATTACTGATGTGGTAAGTCAGCTCGGAGTCATCTCGTAAAATCGTCTCTTTTTTTCGATTTTTTTTATCATTATTCTAAAATCTATATTTTCATGTCTCAAGGAATAAAAGCAGAGTGCGAACTGGGAGGCTATCCAATGTTTTAAAACTCAATCCGGTGATCAATCCATCACTGGCGAGAGAGGACCATATGCTGGCTTACTTAACTATTTTGTAATTTTTTTGAGCCCAAGGTAAGGCTTTTTTCTAACCCTGGGCCAACATAGTTCTGCCATTGCGGCTTGTTTGTCAGTGACTCTAGGTCAATCAATTGGATCGGTCCAATTAACCAATGTAACTAGTTGACTTAATAAATCTTATTAAAATTATTTTTATTAAATAAAATATTTTCACTTTAATTAATTTTAGTTTTAAAATTGATTAAAATGATTTTCACATTCATTGATCAAAATTTTCAAGACTTTATTTTTAAATTTATTAATTTCAAATTAATTTCATTCATTAAATTTATTACAATACACAATATATTTTTTCTTCATTAACCATATGAAGCAATGATATCATATTAATTATAAAATTATTTTTTTATTAATTTTATTTCTAAAATTACTTGAAATTAGTTTTAATTTTCAATTAATTTCATTCATTAATGCAGTCATTTAATTTGTTTCAAAATCAAATTGATTTAATTTTAAATTAATTCCCTCTCTAACTTGATATAGTAATTTAATTTCAAATTAATTTTATTT